TGAGAACGTTATAATTACTTGTATTTATGAAATATAAGTATTCAATAAATCAAATTATCAGTAGAAACCTTGTGTATAGTCAGTAACACGTGACAGTTTATCCATGTGTTAAACGGGTTACAGGTTTTAAGGGGGTATAGTACTCACTCCAGTCAGCAAAAACGTGCCAGTCAACATGTGTTCAGAAATGAGTGCCTTCTGAGATGTGGTTGCTGTTCATGTGATCTCTGTAGCAGATGCTGTATGTGGTTCCATGCATGTCAACACTATTTTCAGCGCTTCATCACACAAGAGGTGCCCATTCTAAAAAATTCATTGTTTCACTTGACTGTCCTTCTAGGCACACTCTATGCCCTCTCTGTAATACCTCTCAGTAGGTGCTTCCACAGCCAAAAATCCAGAGGATTAAGGTTAGGGGATAGTGCAGGCCAGGTGGCTGGGCCTCCATGTTCTACCCATTGTTCTCTGAAAGTCTGGTCCAGGTGCTGCCTGGCAGTGTGGAGAAATTGAGGTGATTCCCCATCATGCATTAACCACATGTGCTGTCGCTGATCAAGAGACATGTGTTCCAAGGGTACTGGTAAATCATTCACCAAAAAATGATGGTACACTGCACCTGTTAGTGTGTTAGGTAAGACAGCTGGTCCTAAGAGATGACCAGTTAGGGCAGGCACCGACAGAATGACTCGCCCTTATTTCAGGACGCACTGAATTCTGGATGTTTTGACAGGGACATTTTCGCTCATTTGAGTAGCACTATACACCCTTAAAGCCTGTAACTCTTTTTTTTTACCACCTCTATACACCTCTATACGTCTGATAGTAACATTTTTGGAAGCATTCTCTGATCAATCTATTTGTATGCACGTTCGCAACCCTGTGTAACATCTGTTAAGGTTGCACAACCCGTCTGTCTATCCGTCGGTCTGCGGGCCCGAAACAATTCGTGAACACCTATACGGATTTTCATGAAATTCGATATTGGAGAATTTTACGAAAAACTACACCGCCACGTCATTTGTGTCGGACATATTTCATGGCGATTTTAGTAAGATCTGCGCATTTACGAGCGTCTCGCTAAATATTCACCGGAATATATTTCGAAAAAAAATATGTAGGAAGAAATGAAACGCGCATCTTGAGATAAAAGCACTTTGTCCGTAATCCAGTCTTATAGTTTCCGAGATTATTAAACATGATGGATGTGTGTGGCAGAGCACACTTCGAAGTTACAATAAACTATGGTGTCTCGAACACAATCGAAATAAAAAAGAAACTACTTCTGGTGTTGGAATTCACATTGAAGTACTTTCTAAGAAGCACTGTCGGGCCAAAGTCAGTCAGAGGCATGGCTAATGACTCCTCGAAAATGAAATATGTCTACACTATTTACCTTTAAGCAAAACGAAAGAAAGAAAAGTTGAGAGAAAAGTAAACAATCAGCAGTTGATTTGAGGTTCTCACAGCCGTCAATATGAAGAACCTGACCTTCAGAGTTACAACGCAATTCTACCCAACTCTCAGGTGTAACAGCTGCGTAAAGGATAGTGTAATTTAGAAAGCAGTACCTGAACCAAGTGTTCAGGAAGAAGCCTTACGAAGTGCACAAAGGAATATGAACATATTCAGTCCGTAATAGGATTAGGCTTCCTACTTCCTTCCCCTCGGCGCTGCAGTTCAGGGTGAGCTTTGGCCTCCTGAACAATCTGTCTCCATTCTTCTCCATCCATCCGAGGCTGATTGTCTGGTAAATATTACTTGGTTCATCCTGGTTCGTCACACTAGTTATAATACAGAAGAATTATTAACGCCGTCCAGTGTGACTGATGTTTTTCTTCTCCTTCATCCTTGACATGTTTCGGTCGGAGCGACCATCTTCAGAAGGGCATATCAATACAAGCGGAAACCACTATTACAATGTATTGATAATGACCAGTGTCATTGTAATAGTATTATTTTTTAATTGCTAGTGGGGTGGGACTAAGTCCCTTGTAATGCGGCCACTTCTGGCCTGTTGTACCAGCCCCAGATGATAGGTGAGGGTGATTGTGGAGCAATTGGTGGAATGAAGATTGGCAGGGGAATCCTAAGTACTCAGAGAAAACATGCCCCAGAGTCACGTTGTCCACCACAAATCCCACTTGACCAGACCCCGGGATCGAACCCGGGCCGCCGCGGTGGCAAGCCAGCGACTAACCGCTTGAGCTATGGCGCGGCCCACTGTAATAGTAGTTTCCGCGCGTATTGATATGTCCTTTCGAAGATGGTCGCTAGGACCGAAACATGTCAAGGATGAAAGCATAAAAAAAAATTATCAATCACATTTGACGACGCCAATAATTCTTCTACGAGTATACTGATTGTCTTGTTTCTGAAGAATTTAGTTTTTACGGTGTGAGGTTGTTAGCCTCACGCCCAACCCTCAACCTGGAGGAGCAGGTTATCCCTCTTCGTCTGGCTCCTACCCCTTGACCTGTCCGGCATGGGTGACCCTACCAGTAGCAACACTACCGCCGACATAGCTCTCAGGGTCTCAGGAACACTCAAACCCTACCACCACGATAAGGTGAAGACACCATCGGTGGGAACAGGATTAGGCTACCTGTCATAATTTGCAATTAGAGATATTGTCATTGTCCTTGGTTTAATAAACTGGCTAGAACCAGCCATAGCAGCGGTTCAGTAGTTACTGCCACAGCTTCCTGTTCTCTAAGTCTCGGGATCGTAACTCGACCCGGAGGTCTAATATCGATGAATATCCATGGCATACGATGGAGTCAACTTAATAATTGTGTTATAGGACCGTTTTTCTCTTCTAAGGTAACCCCCTTGGAAATATTTATCTTTGTATGCCTCAAAATGTCGCTGAAATAAGACAGAAGATCGTTATCTTTTTGGATGTGACGGCGTGTAGTCTAATAGAAAGGTATCGACTGCCTCCATCTTCAGGATATGAAAAAATCTGAAGGGGAAAAAAAGCAACCCCGTTTCATTTCCTTCTTCCCATATATATGTACCCTTGTTTCCAGCATGACTTAATGTTCTACCCTGATGTTGGTGGCAAGATGTGCAGCACCGCCTGTCTCACACTCACTCTCACTCTCACACACACACACACACACACACACACGATAATAAGTTTCTTGCGTGCTGGAGCGGGGGGGGGGCTTATAATATTACTATATTTGAAGCTTCTTGCCTTTTTCTGTTGCGGGGTTATGCCGAAAAAGTACCGTGTTTGAGCGTACTGAGAAAGTGTCCAACTTATGAACTAAAACCATGTGCATCACTGCAGCTGTTGAAACGGTACTTCCAGCAGCGATGCTGGGGTGTATATGGGCTGAATGCCACGAGAAGGACGCAAAGGGAAAGTAAGTTACTGGCCCCAGCGTTTGGAGTTAACCTTCATCTCAGCACTTTATTCTCTTCAGTGTGCGCCTGCGCGTTAAACGGAATAAGAAAATGCTGCCGCCTAAACAGCGCGAGTAACTTCCTGGCCTCCGTAGTCTAGAGGTAACGTTCCCACCTCATGACTCGTGGTACGCGGGTTCAAATACCCGGCGGAGGTCGTCGAATTTTTAAGGACGGAAAAATTCAAGGAACAAGTCCTCCGAGAGGGACTTTAAGCCGTGGGTCCCGTGTCGTAGCTTTACGGCACGTAAAAGAACCTCATATCTCCTAACGAGGTCACTGAGCCAAATTCAAGGACGTTTCCCGCCCAAAAGCAGTCTCTAATACCTCTGGTAATTGGGGGAAGCATTATAGATACCTCTCAGCTAGTAGGACTGATGGTAAGCACCAGTACCGGTAGGATATAGAGACTGGTAGAAATTATAGAGGGAAGCACAATAGACCAATACAGGTCTAAGTGCATGGGGAAACTCACCCTCTCCAATAACTAACTAACTTCCTGGACATTATGCATATTGAAATTACCCGGTTTTATGAACTTATTGCCAAAACATGGCTGCGATTTGCACTACTTTGCAGAGCAAACTTTAAGAACGTGTGAACTGCTCTTTACATGTAGTTCCCACAGCGGTGGTTGCGAAGTGTTATATCTTGTAGCATATATAGTAAGTCAATAGACTTTTCGTAGTAATATGTCGCCTTCATCTTCAGGGTCGAAGCCAAGCTCTGCTTGCCACCTACTTTCACGCTAGTTTTTGCTCGGCTTTTCTTCGACCCTGAAGATGGACGCGACATGTTCTTCCGAAACATTGGTTGGCTTTCAACGAACTACACGGAGTTATATCTCAACAGTTCTTTAGTTACGTAACGAGTACAAAGTCGCGAGAGCGCAAGGAAAACGAATCGGCGTACGGCAGAGTTCAGTGACGTAACAGGTGCACTCATTCACGCTTAGATAATCGGCTTAACAATGGCTGTATCGTTATCTCAGGGGCTGACGCTCCCTATCCTCCTGAGGCCTAGTGTGAGCCCGGGTGGGCAACCTCTCGTTCGCCTGAAACACCTTTGATATTACTTAACACCTTGAATGAGCAACCTTATGGAAGGGAACTCCTTTGCGTTTAACGGGACTTCCGATGTGGCGATTTTGGTTCCCATTTGATTTTAGAAATAAAATGTAATTTTCTAACAGCGCTGTAAACACGTCGCTATTTGTTGGCGAGGAACACTCGAAGAATTCTTACGACAGTATACTCAAATTGTTGCGTAACATGATTATGCTATTTTAATTTACTGATCACGATACGACCAAAACATAACCATAAATTAATTTAATTTACTAAAAGGATAAAAAAAGGCCCTTAAATCGTGCTGGCCTGCTCTGCCTCGCCGGCCCTACACTTTCAGAGGAACTGTAGTCCATATAATCACGTAACAAGTGACGGTCTACTTTTATTCTGAATTATTAGGTATTTACAGAATCGACAAAAATTAAAATCATCCGAATTTACGATATACAGATCCCCCGCCACAAATTTCAAACACGTGGATAATAACAAGAATACAGCAGAACAAACCCACTTTCTTACCTTTAATACCGAAGACAGCAACAACTTCACAGCTGCAAGCTTCCTGAAGGAATTCGATCCTTTAGTCTCTTTTTGCTCTCACGGATCTTTCACATTAATTTAAAAGCAATTACGTAATTGTAATATTACCTTTAAATGACATAAAATTCTTTTCAGTGTGCCACTCACTTCAACCTCATTCTCTCAGCGCTGCCGAAACTGAATTAACCCAAAGACCGTAGGCACATGTGATAAAACACGACTCATCATACGTCATACGGTCGGAGTACGAGTATGTTTCCATGTACTACGCGCCAGTAACACGCCATCGTACACACCTCCGTCATCTACCAATCAGAGCCTCGCAATTCAATCGCGTCACCGAAGTAACCAATCAGAAGCAACACATAGTATCTCGCCATTGTAGGAGGAGAAAGTTCTTTTTTTCATGTGGCAAAGTTAATGTTTGAGAGTTTTGTTAAGTATGATAATGCTTGGTTGGTCTAGTAATAAACACAAAGAAAACTAAGTATATGTTGCTGTCTCGCCACCAAAATGCAGGGCAAAATCATAACATAAAGATAGGTAACAGAAAATTTGAAAATGTGGCACAGCGCAAGATATTTGGGAACGACGATAACAAATCAAAACCTGATTCAGGAGGAAATTAAGAGAGGATTGAACTGCGGTAATGTTTGTTACCATTCAGTCCAGAACCTTTTGTCTTCTCGTCTGTTGTCCAAAAACATAAAAATTAGAATATACACAAGTATAATTTTGCCTGTAGTTCTGTATGGGTGTGAAACTTGGTCTCTCTCATTAAGGGAGGAACATAGACTGAGGGTGTTTGAGAACAGGGTTTTGAGGAGAATATGTGGACCGAAGAGAGATGAAGTGACAGAAGGTTGGAGAAAACTGCATAATGAGGAGCTTCATAACTTGTACTCTTCTCCAAGCATAATTAGAATAATCAAGACAAAGAGGATGAGGTGGACAGGGTATGTAGCACGAATGGGGGAGAAGAGGAATGCATATAGGATATTGGTGGGAAAGCCAGAAGGAAAGAGACCACTGGGAAGACAAAGGTGTAGGTGGGTGAACAATATTAGAATGAATCTTAGAGAGATAGGATGGGATTGTATTGATTGGATTGATCTGGCTCAGGATAGGGACCAGTGGAGGGCTCTTGTGAACATGATGGTGAAAGTTCGGGTTCCATAAAATGCTGGGAAATTCTTGAGTAGCTGCAGAATTGGCTTCTCTTCAAGAAGGGCTCAGCTCCATGAGTAAGAAAGTATGTAACTTTGATCGTGCTATGAAGAATGGTAAATAAAGCAACCAGAGAAGCAGCTAACCGAGTGCGTAACACAGAAAGAGTGCTGCGGGTCCTTGCCGTGCTGGACTGCCACACTCAAATCATTTTGGAAAATGCTTACCAAATTGGGCTGTTAATTTTTAGTTAATTGTGGCACAGGGACCGTAAATACAAGACATTCTCTCATTTTATGGTTGGTTGGATGGCTGCAAGAACGGACTATCTAGTGGACGGAAGAATGGGCTTATGACGGGATGAATGACAAATTGACGGATAAAGAAACGGAATGACAAGCGAACAGAAAGATCAATGGGCGATGTGGGTGCGAGTTCCTTGAATACGTGGAGTTAGGCCGGGAACACCCATTCCGTTACAGCGCAACAACCTATTTCAACGTAATGTTTTCATCAACTGAAGGCCGAGTTATCACAACAATTTGTTGGCACTGTCCCAGGAGGGCTGTCAGCACAACATGCGTATTTCCCTTCCTGCTGACATTGACTCAGTCGGAAAGAATGAGGAAAGAAGCACACAGTGTTACGTGTAAAATACTACCTACATTGATTACAATGAATATGTTGCTGGACATTATCCATCATCTTGTCTATTCTAAAAAACCGTCTAGTTTCTATTAAAAAACACAACGTTTCGGGAACTGGAATCTGTCCCCGTCTTCAGGTAAAACCTACTCAGTTGGGTCCAATAGACAGAGCTAGCCCCTATCTCCGGACAACTATGCCAATTTCAGAAGGGATTCATAAAACAAGCACAACTTAATCCATCTGTGCTTGTTTTATGAATCCCTTCTGAAATTGGCATAGTTGTCCGGAGATAGGGGCTAGCTCTGTCTATTGGACCCAACTGAGTAGGTTTTACCTGAAGACGGGGACAGATTCCAGTTCCCGAAACGTTGTGTTTTTTAATAGAAACTAGACGGTTTTTTAGAATAGACAAGATGATGGATAATGTCCAGCAACATATTCATTGTAACAATTTACCATCATCACAAACTTTTAGATCTTATTTACCTACATTGAGTTGAATCCTTATTGAGAAGCCGCCAATTGCGCAGCTACTAAAGAATTTCTAAACATTTTATAGAACCCTAAGGTTCATAAAAGTGTTCACAACAGCCTTCCACTGGCCCTTATCCTTAGGCAGAACAATCCAATCCAATTTTATCACTCTAAGATCCAGCTTAATATTATCCTCTCACCTACGTCTAGGTCTTCCTAGTGGTCTGTTTCCTCCTGGTTTTCCCATCAAAATCCTAGATGAATTCCTCTTCTCCCCTATGCGTACTACATGCCCTACTCCAACCTCCTATCACTTCATCTCTCTTCGGTCCAAGTATTCTCTTCCGGACCCTGTTCTCCAGCCACCCCAGTCACTGTTCTTCCATTAATGTCAGAGACAAAGTTTCACATAGGCAAAATTATAGTTTTGTATATTCTAATTTTTACTTTCTTATACAGCAGACGAGAAGTTATTGACCGAATGGGAGCAAGCATTGCCCGAATTCAGTCTCCCTTTGAATTTCCCCTGAATTAAATTTTGATTTGTTACTCTCGTTGTCAAATATTTGAACTGTCCCACATTTTCAAAACATCTGTTATCTTCATGTTATGATTTTGCCTGCCTTCGGGGGACGAGACAGCAACATATACTAAGTTTTCTCTGCGTTCACTTCTAGACCAACCTGTGTTTTTCTTTATGGTATCTATGTTATGTCCCGGTAGATTCACCCCATCAACCTAGACCAGCAGCTCATGTGACCCATTTAACTTTAGTCCCATCTGGTTTTCCTAGACCTTCCGCATGGCATATTCTAAAGCAAAGTTGAAAATCAGGGCAATAAAACATGTCCTTGTTTTACTACATGTTTTATTTAAGCACACCAAACGCTATCAGAATGTTGTACAATTCTTCCCCCCTTACTGAATCATAGGCTTTCCTGAAGTCTACGAATAGCTGATGTACTGTCTCAGTGTACTCCCATTTTTCTCCAGTATCTGACGGTTGCAAAAGCTCTGATCAGTAGTTGATCTGTTATGTCGAAACCCACACTGATCATGCCCAGTAATTTAATCTATATATGGACTTTATCTTGAGAGAAGAATATTGGATAAAATTTTGTATGAAGTTGATAATAGTGATATCCCTCTGTAATTACTCCAGTCAATTACCATCCTTCTTATGACCTGGTACATTAATGGACCCCTTCCACTGATCAGGAAATTCTTCCTTATTCCAAAGAGAATTAACGAGTTTATGGATCTCAAACCATATTTCGCCTCCTGCTTGAATAAGTTCTGTCGAAATTTGATCAGTACCTAGCGATTTATACCTCTTCAACTTTGCAACGGTAATGTCAGCCTCAAAATGGCTAGGATCAGGTACTAACAGCTCAGCTGTATATATTTCTATCTGCCAAATATCACTGACACTATGTACGTTCAATAACTGAGGGAAGCAGTTCTTCCACCTATTCAAAATGTAAGAATCTGCAAGGAGTTCACCATTATCAGCTTTCGCTAAGTTACTTCTAAGTGAATAACCCTTCTTAAATTCATTCATTCCTCTATACAGGTCTCTAATGTTCTTGTATTGAGGTCAGGATGAGTTGCAGTCAAGAGGAAACAGTACACCCCATCCGGTCCTAGTTAAAAGAGACCATCAAACATCGGGTGGAAGACATCCTGGTATGTGTCGATCGAAGGACGCAGGGCCTCTGCAAGGAACTTTACAAGACGACTGATGAAGCGCAGATGCATTCACAGGCAGTAAAGACGAAGTTCCCAATACATGCCACGTGGCGAGGACTCGAGGCGAACATAGCAGTTGTTGAGGCCCGGGCCGTGCACGGAAGAGGAACAAGTAACGGCGCGGGCAAGGCAAAGCCTTGCAGACAACACAAATTGATTAACTGGTGCAGCAGTTAAATAGAGTATACTCGAGTACGATGTATGTTTCCTATTATGTTGCATGTAAGTTTGCGTGGCTTCTGTTGTCAATTTATGTGTATTATATAATTAGACAGTATTTTCGCCGACTCGCGGAAGAAAGCGTCACCGACCCCTGAGGGCCTCGGTTCCCACTCTGGGAACGTCACTGACCTGAAAAACCAAAGGAAAGTTACTACTTGCTTCGTACATTCGTACTTCAGCTGAAATCATATGTTGAGGTAGACTAGCGATTTCAGAGCTTTGTTTTGAATGGGATACAGATAAAAAGACGATTCAAAACATGTTATTGTGAAAAAATAATACGCATTTATCAACACGTGCGTCCAGTGCCATTTTTATATTGTTTACTGCTGCTGGTGTAGCCTTGAAACACTTGATCGTAAGGAACAAAATACGTCGCAAAATGTCATGTTACGTCGCTGCTTACGCTTCAAACTATCCGCGTAGATATCACGAGACGCACAACGGTGAGCGACTAACGCAGACGGAAGGGAAGGGAACGGTGCCACTTCCTGATTTTGTCTTGGGCAAGGTCAGTGCCAGCTCCGAGTATTTGCTTTTCTGAGAACCACACATAGGCCGAGGTGAATGCATCATTTGCTTCTCGCAAACGACGAGAAACATTGGTCTGTGTTTGTCCGTTGGGACACAGAAACTTCCTCTATTCTGAAGGCGAATAAAAGAACAATTATTGCTGATAGACAAAATTTATGTTTAGCTAATGAAAGAACATACTTTAAAGTTTTAAATCATGTAGTTTCAAACAAAATATCTTGAAGGTGGTGGCCACCGTTCTCTATGCACTGATGCAACCGTTTTCTGAAGTTCCCTTCTGCACGTTCCAACATGTGCACCGGAATTTGGGCTACTTCCTGCCGAATAACATTCTTCAGCTGAAGCAGGTTTGTGGGGCAACGTTTAAAAACG